CCACACTTCAAAATTCTCGGCTATATAAAAATCGTTGGCCCGTGATAGTGTCTATTGGATACATTTTGGCCGTTGTACAAATAGTTGGTGATCCCTGCTGTAGAGGAATCTGAGGGGAGATTTAACACAACACTGACATGAGATAAAGTAAAACAAGCCCAGCTGCTGCTATAAACACATTTTCAGATGACGCAATGCATGCAATGATAGCACACACTAACGTCTAATTTCCTTTTGAAAATTATCTTGAAGCTCTGGACTAAATCTAGCTTATATTTATTTACTTTTTAGCTAAAGTGATTCCCCCAGGATTGGTGGAAATGTCTGAGTAACAAGCAGTTTTGTGCAGTTTAAGCTAATCCTAAATCCACTTACTGTTTCTAGCTGAAGCCAACACCTCTATAGGTTACTTTGTTGGTCAGTTGTCCTACAAAATGTTTCCCACCCACAGTTTTCACTCTGAGTTTAAAATGTGTCAGTGAGAGTGGTGTTGTACTGACCCCCAGTTGATTGTAATATGTTCAGTACATTTTGTGATTGCACTTTCACTTGTGGTTTCACTTAAAAATTGCTTTGTTAGATGGAACCTCTGTTCTGTTTTTGAGAAAGTCCCGCTATTGGATCTAGAAAAGTGGAATTCATTTGAAATAGCTCAGCTGAAACTAAATATTCATATCCCACTGAATGCGGTCTCCTGCATCTGAGTGTCTTGTCACCTGGCCAGGAGAGCGCCACCATCAATATCAATTTGTCAGTAGAGTTGAGTTCCCACTACTTGATTAGCTCAGTGTCCATGGCAGTCACACACACTCTCACACACTCCCTCCCTCAGTCCTGATGCCAGTGCTATGCTGGCACTCCCTCTCATGTTCTGTTGCCCGAGCACTCTCACTTATCATGCAGACACAATCATTTCTGCCATGATTATTGTTTTTATTGTCAAGCTGTGTTTCAGTCAGTAACACTTTGAGCTACAAATTATGAAATATTTCATCTTGTGGGGGTAAAGAACTGCGAGTAGACGTCAGATTCAGAGCTAAGAAAAACAGCAGGAACAAACTAGAGAATGCAATTCTTGAAGAAATTGCTATAGTGGGAATGCTTTATGCTGAAAAGCTGATGCTAAACTGCTATGCTGAAATGTAATGTGTAAGAAGAAAGTGAAGAATTTAGATTGAAATTATACATGAACACTGGGGGCTTGAAATATGAGAGAAGAAAATAAAGTAAAAAGGCTTGTAAAAGCAGCAGAATATTTGAACTGCAACATTTTTAACTAACTTGATGGCGAATGATCTGTCGCCATGGCAACGGCATTTGATGACACACCATAATACGCTTAGATGTGTGGATGGATGCATCGTTACAAAACCTGTGAAGTTTTGGGCCGTTTGGAGCATTTTCACTGAAGTTATGAGAAAACCGTGTTTCATGGTGAGACTTGTGTTACAATTTTTGCTTAATTTTTTTTCATTTTTCAAGCTACGAGATGTTTTCCTACGTTTGTCATGACAAATTATGTCTCAGAAGTGTAGGGTTTGGGAATTATGGCAGGTGTAAAAAAAAATATGAAGGGGAATTTCAAACTGTCCTCCACTCTAACTCTGACATCACACACTCTGCCTTAACGATCTGCGCAATGTTAAAGCTGAAGAAGGCCTCTTTACCAAGGTCTGAACAATGTTTAATATTTATAAAAGTATGAATCTGATTTAAAAGTTGTTTAATATGAATAATGTCAGAAAGATGTGTAACAATTTAAAGTTGGAATGAGGTTTCTGAGTGAAAGTATGAATGAACAGTTAGCAGTTGAAGTCGCATGAAGATTGTTCAAGTCAAGTCTGAAGATTTTCTCCATTGACTTCAATGGTTAAAAATGTGATGAATTATGGGATATATCTCGGGAATTATGAAAGTTATGAATGAGAAAAGTAATATCAATCGATTCCCGACCGAGCTGAACGTTTTGATGTTTGAACAGAGTTTCTGCGATGTGGAATGTGGGAGAAGAAGACCAGCAAAATAACGGGCGGAATAAAGATTTTGAAGAACAGATAAATGAGATCAGCGTGGGCCTGGCAGGGGGAAACAGCCTGACTAATCAGGAGAGTGAGCGATGACGGGTGGCCCTGAGCGTCAGCTGTTTCTGATCAGCTGATGGTGCTCAGCCTGAGCTCACTGCGCTCCATGTGTTTATATAACCAAGCCTCTCAAACTATTTTGGTTACGACAAAAAAGTCTCACCACTTAAAAGAAGCTGTTCTGGAGCTTTTGATTAATTCTCATGATCGTTCTCATCGGTGCAGTGTCATGTACATTATGATTACGTTTTGGATATAGCAAAACCTGTTAGTGGATCAAATGACAGATCATGAAGGGAGACCTTTTTCCTTTGGGGGGGTTGAAGTGTTTACTGAGCCATATTTTATAAATGCAACCTGTCATTTCCATCAGTTTTACCCCAATTTGAGCAACAAACTTTCTCCCTCAGCCACCTGCTCCTTCATGTCCCTCTGCGCTCCAAACATGGCCCAGGGCAGGGGGTGTCTGGGGTTTCTCTGTCAGTAAAGTGGACGACTATTTCTAGCTTGACCACGGTATCCAGTCGAAGCAGTGCAGGTTGGATAGCTTGTGTGTTGAAAGATTATCTGTTGTAAGATGAAGTAATTAACTGCAACACATAAACTGAATGACCCCGTGTTCCTAACGAGAGAGGGACAGGAGTGTTTACCAGAGAGTCTAAAGCAGGGGTGTCAAACTCAAGGCCCGCAGGCCAAATCCGGCCTTCAACCTCATTTTATGTGGCCTACAAGAGCTTGCAAAGAATATAATAGGTTTATTATACGCTTACATGCCGCTTTACAGAAGCACCTTGCCCATAAACGACATACCCCACAATGCATCTCATTTTGTTACATGCACACTGAAGAAACTTATATATATTATATATTTATATATGTATATTTGTATAGTCTTAAAGTTACAACCGGCCCTTTGAGTGCAACCATGCTGATGTGGCCCGCGATGAAATTGAGTTTGACACCCTTAAGGGTTTCAGTTATTACTATTAAAAAAACAAGAACATCTTAAGGAGATTAAAATGAATGTTTGTTGCTGTCATGGGTGGTCATCACAATACACACGCAATAATAACCCCTATCATCATAAAATGACTTTATGTTTTAATGAAGGATGTTAAAGTAAAATTAATTCAGTTTGAAACGGTTGGAAATGCATCAGACCTGAATTTCTTGCCGCTGATAGAAACTGTTTTGTATGATTCACACATGACATTGCAACTTTAAAGGTTGATTGTCAGGGTTTGAGTTTTTGTGTGTCTAGTTTTGGGGTTATTTTGCTGTTCTGTCCTCCCTGTCGTTAGTTTCCCTGGTGTGTCTGATTGTGTTCACCTGTGGCCCTTGTGTTTCTCCTCCCCTGCCCGGCTGTTTCTCGTCTCGTGATTACCCCTCCCTGTATTTAGTCTAGTCTCTTCCTGTGTTCAGTGTTGGTTCATTATTTGTCGTTCATGTCTCCCTTCATGTTGGTCACAGTCACCTTTGTTTGGATGCTACCTCGTACCTGTTTTTGGATTCTTGTTTTTGTTCAGCTTTTGTTTAATAAAGCTCGCCTTTTGTTTCCTCTTCAATCTGCATTTGGTTCCTATTTTTCCCCAACCCTGACATTGATTGAGGGGGAAATAGCCTTCAGTGTTCAGTCGCAGACGAAAACTGTTTATCCTCAACTCATACATGATTACACTGTTTTTACATAGACTGTAAGATAAAGACATCAGCCGTCCGTTCAGACTTCAGTGTCTTTCGAGTGTCATTAGGTGATTAGGTCTGATGAGGTCATTTTCTCAAGGGGTGTTTTCAGAGTGTTTTGTTGACATGTCAGTTAGTAGTTCTTTCTGAACAGCTGGGATGTTCGAGCTGTGGCAGAAACTCTCTGATTGTCCTCTGAGAGTCACCTTCTCAGGACGAGAGAGGTGTCAACTCTGGAAACCTAAAAGTACCCTGCAGCTGCACTGAGCGGCCAATAAGATCTTAATGACTTTGAGAGTTTGAGTGTGAATGTGAATGGTTATGTTTATGTGCATGTGCGGTATGTACTGTATATGTGCACACATTCTAAAATAACAGTTTAAGTGAATTTTATGGCCTTTTGAAATTGAGTCCCCAAGCCCAATAATTAATTTCTGGCTTCTGGAAATTTTACCTGTATTTTTTACTAAATGTGTTGAGGAATAATTGCAGAATTGTGAGATACACTTCCATTTATATACTTTTGTTCTCTGGTTTCCACAGCCTACCAAACCTGGAATCAGAGGGATATGAAAGGTGAGTCAGAGTAAAGAGAAATAAAACCATAAATCAGTGCCAACATGTATTTTTAGTTGTGCTGTAAAGGCCAATTTCAAACCTGCATGAATATCTGAAATTGCCCCCTGAGGACAAAGTCTGTAGCAGCCAAACACATTGAAAAATATTTGTAGCATGGATAACGGGAATATTTTAATTGCAAACCTATTGCAGTGCACTGTTGTTGCTGAGAGGTTTGATTCAGCTGTTGCACATAAGACACACACACACACACACACACACACACACACACACACACACACACACACAAACACACAAACACACA